TAATTGTAATACATTTAATGTTCTCTTCTAGATTGCAAACTTCATTTTTTTTTGTACTGGGAATTTAATCCATGGGCAATTTACCACCAAGCTACATCCCCAGAACTTTTTTTTAAATTTTGAAACAGGGTCTTCTTAAGTTGCTCAGGGCCTCACTAAATTGCTGAGTCTGGTCTTGGACTTGCCATCCTCCTGTCTCAGACTCCTGAGCCACTAGGATTACAGGCATGTGCCACCATGCCTGGCTGCAAACTTCTTGATTTGTGTATTTCCTCTCCTCATATTTGGGCTATGTCTTATATATCTGAGTGCCTGACATTAAATGCTCAGTAAATGTAGTTTGGAATAATAATAAAAAATCTTATATATTCAGATTTAAAAACATTTTGAGTGTGAGCAGGGGTAGACCGAAAATCCTAAGAGTTGGGAGAAGGTAGAAAAGCTATCTCATAAAACTATAGGTGGCTTTCTGTCCTGATTAAAGGAAAGACTTGAATATTTCTGTAGGAGCGAACTGTTTTGGGGAAACTTCATGAATTGTTTAACTATTTATATTATAGCAACTATATATCTACTACTCTTTATCTACTACTCTTAGAAAATTGTAAAGTAACCGTTAACCTGAGTATAGATACTTTAGATAAAGAAGAGTGGTATTCCATTTGGTTATGCAAATCTGTTTGTGGAGCAGAAGCCCTGCTCCTGTAGACACTGATATAGAAGAGAATAAAAAAACTGTCTCTTTTATTGGGCGCAGTGGTGCACACCTATAATCTCAGCAGTTTGGGAGGCTGAGATAGGAGGATTGCGAGTTCAAAGCCAGCCTCAGCAAAAAGCTAGGTGCTAAGCAACTTAGTGAAACTCTGTCTCTAAATAAAATACAAAAAATAGGGCTGGGGATGTGGCTCAATGATTGAGTGCCCCTGAGTTCAATCCCTGGTACCCCCAACAAACAAAACAACTAACTGTCTCTTTCCTCTCTGTGGATTTAGTGTGTGTGTATGTGTGTGTGTGTGTGTGTATATATATATATATATAAATATATATATATTCATATTTATGTTTATTTTTTAGTTATAGTTGGACACAATACCTTTATTTATTTATTTTTATGTGGTGCTAAGGATTGAACCCAGGCCCTCACACATGCGAGGCGAGTGCTCTACCGCTGAGCCACAACTCCAGCCCCATATTTTTTAATATACTGTTTCTGTAGAGAAATGAATGTTTTTGTTTGACCCTTGCTCTTAGGAGAAAAGAAGCTGAGATCTAAAGGATACCAGAAAACAAGGACAGACATTATCTTTACTGTTTACTGGAGAAATAATTTTGCAAAGGGACTAGACTAGCTTTGATGAAGCTCTTCCGGAACTTATGCATTAAGATTGAACAACTCAATCTTTGTAAGAAAGGTGTTGAGGTTAAAGTATCATTTTAAAACTTGATAGTCTCATTGGATCAGAGGTCAAGGTCACATACCTAGCATGGAGGGTGGGGATTCCTCTAACAGAGTTGATATTTCCATAGTTAGTCCCCTAGGAAGATATGGCATGTGGTTCAGAAAATGGGACTTTTCTTGAAAGTGGATCCTAACCTGAGTGAGAAAAGTTGTTTTCTTCTCTAAGCTTCACAGTGGTTGGGTCAGGATACCCAAGACACAGTCAGGGGAATTCTTGCTGGAGAGACAAAGCTGTGTTTCAGCACATGGACCTTTCTGCATCTAGTCTATATAAGGGCTTTGAGATTAGCCATATCATACCTACAGGTTATATCTTAGATTCTTCTTTTCTAAATACTGTCAGAAGTTTTAGCCTGGTCTTAGCTGTGCTATGGGGAGACTTTGATGGGAAGGACCTATACTTATGATGTTCTGGTGAAAAGAGGGCAGTGCTCCTTCCTGTCCTACCAAGGCAATGGCAACGGTGAAGAAAGATCACTCCTGGAGGGGGGGATGGATGGATCTCTGATATCTCTGATATCTCTCTATCTCTCTCTATCAGTGTCCCAGAAATGGAGGCAGGAGTTGTTATTTCAGGTATGTAGGGGAGAGAGC